CTCCAGGCCAATGGATGAATCATTGATTTCGTCAGAGAGGGCATCCAAGCGACTCACCAATGCATCATTGCCACTGGGTTTTTTCTTGCTTTTCTTTCTCATCAGGATTTCAGACCATAACTTGTGATAGTCTCTCCTCAGCTCTTCAAGGTGACCACAAGACAGCTCATCCATAAAGACCTTCATCCACTGCAGGAAGTATTTCTTGGTGCCTGCTGGCTGGGCCTGGAGGAAGCCAAGGAATGATTTCATCAGTGGGTTGAGAGGGAAAGCTTGCTTCAGTTGCTTTTCTCTTATTGCTTTCTTCTCATTTTCAATTTGGCTTCGATGATGCTCAATGCTCTTGTTCCTCTTCTCCTGCAAGCGAGTGAGTTCTTTGTCCTTTTGGCACCACTGGTACCACAGTTTTCCTTGAAGCGGCAGCAGCTGGGACTTGATCTCAGACAGCTTCTCTTTCTTCAGAAACTCCACCAGCTCCTTTGCCTTTGCTTTGGCTGTCACACATGCAGGTTGATCTGCATCCACTACGAATCCATGCTGGCGAGGTTTGTCCGCTCAGGCCTCCAGGCTGAAACCTGCATTAGTCCCTTCCAGGAGATCACTGATAGTTTTGGTCAGTTGGTCCATCAATTCTGCTTCGTTTCTGTTTTTGATCCCTATTTTTATGTTTTTGCTGGCTTGTCCAGCTGCAACATTCTCTTGTTCCGTGAGAAGACAAACCAAAGGGCTTTGCGACTGCCACAGGTCCTGCAGAAGCTTTTTCCCCCTGCTGTCCATGTGGTCCAACTCAGATACGAGAGCCACGTTGACAGCAGATATCTCCCGCAGGAACTGCAGCTGTGCTCCATGATCCCTGGCATCTCCATGCAGGTTACAGAAAGCCACGCAGCGCCCAAAGGTGTCATCGGGGTTTTCACGGGGGCAGTACCAGGCGATCTCCACCAGCCCTTCCATCAGCAAACGCTCTCTGGTGCTGCCTCTGCAGTGGCGGTGGAAGAAAGTGTCGTGTTTGCGTTTGCTCAGCAGAGCGTTCAGGAGCTGGGACTTGGAAGAGGAGGCTGAGCTGCCAATGCGGATGAAGGACACGATGGGTGTCTGTGCCTGAAAGATGAGTTTGTTGTTGTAACTCTTTGTTTGGGCCTGCTTTCCTGACTTCTCCACTTCTTTCCAGCTCCTTTGTATATGGCTTAGGGCGTAGAGCAGGAACTCGATGCGTGAAGTGCTCGGGTTGGGCAGCAGCAGAGGCAGCGCCAGTTGGCAGAAGGCCAGCTTGGTTGCAAGGGTCTGTCTCAGGAAGTCATCAGCACAATGGAAAATGGCCATCTGCAGGTCCATGGGGTGCACATGGCTGTCGATGCTTTCATGTTCAGGGGCTGGTTCTGTCAGATTGTCAAAAAACTCTTCAAAGGAGTCTGACTGCCAGTCCAAGGCGCTTGAGCAACTGGAGGAACTCCTGGTTTGCCATGGCTTCATTTGCTTTGGATTTGCTGCTATCTGACTTAGATTGGGATTGACTGGGGTCTTCAGGTGTTGGAAAAGTGTCTTCCAGGTCTCTAAGTATGTTCTGCATCCTCTGTTCATCCCATTTGTCATCCAAGCACCCACTGATCAAGGAATCCAAATCCCGTTCCAGCCTCTCCCAGTTCTCACCTCCACTGTGCTTTTGGAGGAGATTCTTTATCCGTGTGGACCACAAGTCTTTCATGTGATCTTCCATGAAAACTAATCGCTCCCTCTTCTGCTCATGGGACAGCTCTTGACTTTCGGGTGTCACAGTCAGACCCCTCAGCAGGAGGAAGGCCTGAGCTCTGCTGGCATCTTGCTCCTTCAGGTTCACGTACTCCTCGTGTGCCGCTTCCATTTCCTTGGCCATGTACTGAATTTCTGGGTGTCCAAGTAGGTGCTGAAAAGTGCTGCTTTCCACCTGGTACCCTGTGCTGGTCACAATCAAGAGCACCAAGAGTTCCATGTCCTTCTGAGCCTGTTCCTGGAGAGACTGCAGTAAGGAATAAATGGCGAGGCTGCTGGTCAGGGTGGCTTCTATCTTTGCTTCATGAACGTCAGAAGCAGAGCTTCCTGGTGCATAGGTGACAGCATGGATGTGCTCCTTCATTTGCTGCAGTGTTTTGATGAGCTCCTGAAGCTCAGAGACTTTTGGCGGTCTGGGAAGCAGGTGCTCAGTCTGGAAGATCCATTGCATAATGAAGGAAGCCTCAGGGAAGTCCTTGACAGAGTAGATATGAGGATTCAGGAGACTCCTCAGCATTACCTTGATAGAGGTGGTGTTTTCTGGAGGTGACTCCTGGCAGCTCTGCACGGTGTTCACCAGGAACTCCTGCAGGGCTTTGTCCGACAGGCACACGTTGATCCACACACTGGAGTTCCTGGTTTTAGCACTCAAATCATCTTTTAGCTCCAGCAGCATGAGCAGCTTCTCTTCATCCCCTTTCGTCACTGGACCCTTCTACACTGGCCCTGAAGCGACCCCAGCTGCCTCCAACAAAGCTGTTCAGGGCTTCAGCCACCCCGGAGCCACCAAGTTCAAAATCTGTGGTGACAGGAGGAAAAGTGCCTGCAAACCTGCTACTGGGCACCTGCCTTTAAATCTTCGGGGGTTTTGACCCTGTCACACAAGTCTGAAGATTGTCCCAGTCTCAGTTCATTTGGATACTGGAGAGATTTATTCCTTGTGTAATGTGTGATTTAGATAATTTGTGCTTATGTAGAATGTAAGTACAAAATATCCATGATCTAAGTTATAATGTTTGAAAGAAATATTCTAATGAATTACAAATCTATACGTGGGAGTCGAGGGACTACCTCATACCGAGAGAGTGCTGCATGCCATTGTGAAACCACAGAGGGCAGCGAGGAGAAGCCCGATTGACGATTGAAAGAGCCTGGCTCTGGAGGAGATGAGTCCTTACTCAAGAACCACCTGGGTGATGAATACTTGACAAGTACCGAGATCAAGACAGCAAGAGCCACTTGGGAGTTTGCATTCCAATGCCAGGTTCCCGAAACTCAACATTCAGCATTCATCACTTGCCAGGAACTACATTGTCCAGCCCAACACAGAGAAAGGAGACAACGTGAATATGTTTAACCATGAAAAGAACAAGAGAGACTCGGCCTCGGGCTAATTAAAGTGTATAAAAACTGCCCAGACACACACACTTTCGTGAACAGAGTGGAGTTCTGACGCGATAGAGGTCAGACCAGTGTTCACCCAGCGCTGAACCCGGGTTCGACGCTGTCCCTTTTGATTGTGGCTATCGGAGACCGTATCTCGGCCGTGAAATAAAATTTATCTTTATTAATTATTAATTTGGCTCCGCCGATTTTTACCTATAACAATCTTGGTGACCCCAACCTGGTCTGATTTAGGGGTTCGGGGATACCCCTTTCTCCAATCTGGAGGTGCCCCACTGATTTCCGTGACCTGATGAAGTTGGGAAACCTCATAGAACCAGACAACCAAACTAAAAAGTCAGAGCCACAATCAAGGAAGGGATAAAAACAGGCCCAAAATAGCTCTTTGGGACTTGGAGGAGGGTCTCCAAAGCTGCGGCAAAATTTTTTTCACTCATAAAAGTCGATGGGCACAAAGAAGCCACACGGGAAGCAGGACCGTAAAGTATCGTGTGGATGAGTGAGGTGTGATTGAGCACGTGTGTGAGACGTGATACTGTCACTTAGCGAGTGTGGACCCCAAGATCGTAGTTCCCCTCTCCCGCAAGGGATGGGGTCGGTCAAGGGGGAAGTGGATGAATTCATTTTCATGTGTAAAGCCTGTAACTCAGGGTGAGTTCAGGGGTTCAGTCACGGACAGGATCAGAAAGGGAGGGTACATTCCCAGGCGTTCTGGAACTGGTAAACTTTTTGATCCAGGACTATGGTAAGTCCAGGTAAGGAACAGAGAAGCTTCTTACCAGTTGGAAAACCCACAGATCGGTTCACTGTGAGGCTAGTAGACTGGTAACTTTGAATAAGGATTAAACACAGGTACGGTAGTGATTAAGAGAAAATTTTTAGGACTCGTTTCAAAATGCAACACAGAATCACAGTAAGGAAAAATCTAAAAAGGTAGATTCGAGGAAGACAGGGCAAAAGGGAAAAACCCAGGGTAAACCTGAAAAAGAACAAGGGAGCAGTTTACCTGGAATTCCGAGGAATAGTCTGTTGGGGTGGATATTAGAGCACTGGGAGGATTGTCCCGAAAGATGAAGGCGATCCAAGGAACTAATGATACATTATTGCGTAGAAGTATGGGGAGGCAAAGAGATTAAAAGACAACTAATTTGGCCGATGTTTATGGGCACAAAGAAGCCACACGGGAAGCAGGACCGTAAGTATCGTGTGGATGAGTGAGGTGTGATTGAGCACGTGTGTGAGACGTGATACTGTCACTTAGCGAGTGTGGACCCCAAGATCGTAGTTCCCCTCTCCCGCAAGGGATGGGGTCGGTCAAGGGGGAAGTGGATGAATTCATTTTCATGTGTAAAGCCTGTAACTCAGGGTGAGTTCAGGGGTTCAGTCACGGACAGGATCAGAAAGGGAGGGTACATTCCCAGGCGTTCGGGAACTGGTAAACTTTTTTGATCCAGGACTATGGTAAGTCCAGGTAAGGAACAGAGAAGCTTCTTACCAGTTGGAAAACCCACAGATCGGTTCACTGTGAGGCTAGTAGACTGGTAACTTTGAATAAGGATTAAACACAGGTACGGTAGTGATTAAGAGAAAATTTTTAGGACTCGTTTCAAAATGCAACAGAGAATCACGGTAAGGAAAAATCTAAAAAGGTAGATTCGAGGAAGACAGGGCAAAAGAAGAGCAAGATTCAGGGAAAAACCCAGGGTAAACCTGAAAAAGAACAAGGGAGCAGTTTACCTGGAATTCCGAGGGGTGGATATTAGAGCACTGGGAGGATTGTCCCGAAAGATGAAGGCGATCCAAGGAACTAATGATACATTATTGCATAGAAGTATGGGGAGGCAAAGAGATTAAAAGACATCTAATTTGGCCGATGTTTGGCACCTTCAAAAGATAGACTTGACGAGCCTTACATGATTTTGTGTATGATGAAAACCCGTCAGAAAGTGAGGAAAGGATCTGTGCCAGGCTATGAGAATATGCTAGCACGGGATTATTCCCGGTAAGAACTTACAGGAGTGCTGCGATTCAGGGCGAAGAGTGGGAACCCTTAGATAGTGGGAACCTTCTGCCTCCGTATCCTCCATAAGCTCAGGTTCCTTTGCCCTCACCCATGGGTTCGTTGCCCCCACCCACGCAGGCACAGGCACCTCTGCTCCCAGTGCAGCATCCAAAAGTCCCGCTCCCACAAGGGAAGGCTTCGGCTTTGCAGTGTCCGCAAGATAATTCTCAGCCCCCATCCGCACCGCCGCCAGCGGAAAACGACCGGCAGACCTCTCATACTGGGGAAGCCAGTTTTCCTCCAGCCTGCAGAACGTGGCACAAAACAAGGAAAGTAACTAATGATGACAGTGAGAGCGAGGAGGACAAACAGAATCTCCTTCCTTTAAGGGAAGTGCCCAATGCCTCAGGAATAATTGGGTACGTAAACATGCTGATTAATACTGGGGATGTAAGAGCCTTCAAGAAAGAGAAGGGGAAATTGATGGATGACCGATGGAGGTGGCAGAAGGACTAGATGAATTCCTGGGGACAAGCATATACACCTACAATGATATAAATGCTATACTGAGGTCATTGTTTAACACCAAGGAAAGGGACATGATAAGACAAGCAGCAATATGGGACTGGGATCACAGGAATCCCCAAGGGTTGCTGGGAGACCAGAAGTGGCCAGACCGGAGACCATGTGGAATGCTCAAAACGAGGAGGATAGGGTAAAAATGATAGAACTAAGAAATATGGTAATACGAGGTGTAGGGAAAGCAGTGCCAAAGGGGCAAAATATCAGCAAGGTATTTGGAGAATGCCAAAGGAAAGATGAAACACCCACAGAGTGGTTGGAGAGGCTGAGGAAAGGACTTTGAATGTACTCGGGGACAGATACGGATTCCCCAGTCAGGGAAGTCTTGTTAAAAATGCAATTTGGTGCAAAATCGTGGGAGGATATAGGGAGAAAGCTAGAGAAAATAGAAAGCTGGCAAGAAAAATAGTTACAGGATTTACTAAGGGAGGCTCAAAGGGTTTATATGAGGAGAGATGAGGAACAGCAAAAAGCACAGGCAAAGTACTGGTAGCTGCGGTTAGGGAAGCCCAAAACCAGGAATGGGCTCAAGACTCTGTGACACCAGCACAGAGTCATCCGGCTCAGAGAAGACAAAACCTTCCTCAGAGAAGGCACTCAAACAGCAATAAATATAATCCAGAGTGCTTTTATTGCAAGCAGAGGGGGCACCTTCCAAGGGTATGCAAGAAAAGGATGAAGGATAAGAAAATCTTCCAGGAGGATTAGAGGTGTCAGGGGCTTTTTAATTTAGGGTCCAGAACATCCAACGAGCCCTTGATAAAACTAAAAATAGGATGCTGGAAACAAGAATTAACATTTCTAGTAGATTCAGGGGCAGAGCAAAGCACCGTTCAGCGGTTGCCACCAGGATGTATGAGAAGCAAAGACACCATGCTGGTGACTGCGGTGAAGGGAGAGACTTTCAAAGTACCTGTTACAAAGCACGTTGAGATAGAATCAGAAATAAAGTTTTGTTTGGGGAATATGTCACTGGTGGAAGAGGCAGATTATAACCTACTAGGAAAGGATCTAATGCTAGCTCTGGGAATAAGCTTAATCGCACAAAAATCCCAACTCATATAAGTTTATATAAACTAACCACTGAGGATGAAAGCAAGATAAATTCTAAGGACTGGCATATGCAAGGAGAAGCTGGGAGGTTAGATATGGAAATAGATATTGAAATCGAGAGACCAGAAGATCTGATTAGGATCACGCAATACCCTCTACCCATGGAAGGTAGGAAGGGACTAAAACCGGTAATAGAGAAGTTAATCAGAAAAGGAACCTTAGAACTGTGCATGTCTAGACATAACACTCCTATTCTGGCAGTGTGAAAAACAGATGGAAGTTATAGATTAGTGCAGGATTTGAGGGTTGTCAACGAGGGGACAGAAACGCTGTTCCCTACAGTTTCCAATCCTTACACCCTGGTAAATAGTATTTGTCCCGAGGATACCTGGTACAGTGTAATAGATTTGAAAGATGTTTTTGGACCTGTCCCTTAGCTGAAGAAAGTCGAGATTATTTTGCATTTCAATGGGAGGATCCAGAGACAAATTGGAAGCAACAGCTGAGATGGACGTCTTTGCCTCAGGGGTTTGTGGATTCACCAAACCTATTTGGACAGGCTTTTGAGCAATTATTAAGACAGTTTGTGCCACCAGAAGGGACCAAATATTTAGATGACTTACTGGTGGCCGGTCCTAAGGAGGAAGCTGTAAGGGCCAGTACAATATCATTGC